ATCACTTGCCATGTAAGCATGACATGGCAACGTTTTGCCATCCAAGCAGCCAAGCGAGGTGTGTCGTCAACGGCAGTTAAGTCAGGTGAGGAGTCCAAAACGGCAGTTAAGTTGGCTTAAGAAGAAGGGCATAATTGCTTTGATCCCCGAGTTCAAGGGCTTATATGCATCAATTACAGTCTAGGGGCTTAATAGCGATTCTGGGGTTGGTTCAGGGGCTTGGCTTATGGTTTTGCCTTTTGAAAATGCCACTGATACAATAGGCCAAAACCCTTCTTAAGCCCTCAAACTTATCCCAAAAAAACATTTAAGCCCCTAAACTAAAAACAAAGTATATAAGTCCTTTAACTCTATTAATGATGCAAATAAGCCCTTCTCATTCATGGGTATTCATGCTTTCAAAGTAATATTAAACATGAAGATATTGTTTGGTATAGCTTATGAGAAAGATTTATTGGATTTAAAAGCACACGCTACATCAAACATTACAACTTTTGCTGAAACTAGTGGGAAGTCTTTACCTCCTTTCTATTGAAAATTTGAGAAGCATGGATTTGGTGCTTTTGCGGGATCTTTTGCTTTTGGTTTGATGAAATTTACACATTATCCCTATTTTATCCTCACATTTTAATCATTTTACAAATAAATCACTGTATATAGGGATCCAAGTATAACACCGAACCACTATTCCTCGTCTTCTTTCTCAACCAACACAAAATCCCTAATTCATTCCCCGTCTTGATTGGTTTTATAGCAGACACTACTGTGAAGAAGAGTGTTAAGGACATAAATCCTATTACCACCGGCACGAACGCAAGAGGCTTGAGGATTTGGATCTTGGGCAATTCAAGAAGTTCACTTACCAGTCTACTAGTTCCAGATCAACAAAGCCACATTTTCAAGTAAGCTCCCCTTGCTCTCCTTTCTTTTCTTTTTGACTTCTAGAAAACATGAGTTTTCCTTTAATATCACTGATTTGTTAGATTTTGGCTTGGTTAAACATAAAATTTGAGATAGTTAGGACATAAAGATTA